AGACTGGGCAGGGGAGAAAGAGACGTCTGAAGAATGAACTGGCTCATAGTGTCATTTATAATTAAGGAAACCTTTGCTAAGAAATTTTATCTGAAAGTTAAGAAGTCCTTTGAGAATTTCACCAGCAACTCAATATGGTGCTATTATTTCATTATCGAGACACTTAAACTTCTTGATTTTTTTTTAACTCCTTACAGAGGAATCAAGAGCCTAAAATTATAGCAAAGAGAAGCAGCTCTTGAGTGTTAATATAGTTTTATACAAGGAGTTTGAACATTGTTATCAGTAGTCTGTCAGTCACCTATTGAAATTTATATATAATCATTGATTGCAGTTAGGAAAGGCAATTATAATAGTATATGTAACTTTTAGGGGTTTTTTAAAGCATAGAATACTTTAAAACTGATGCACCTTTTCCATGTTATCATGAAAATATTGCCCATGATTTATTTTCAGATACCTGAAAAACTAATGTATTTTTCTCCCTGAAAACTGGGCAACCTTCCATCACATATTATTCTTGGGAAAGGTCGCCAACAAACATACTACAGCAGAATGAACTTCAAACCCTACATATGCTCACCACTGGTGGATGAGGGTGGTAGGTACTAGAGCTGATTTCTAGATTTTTTGTTCATCCTATTCTATAATTAAATGCTGTCTAGTGTTAGATGGATGACAGCCCCAAGTGAGAATAATTATCCCACATGAGAAAGAGTCAGCCAATCACCAGCTGTATGTTGACATATCAAGAACTGGACAAGAAAAACATTAACGTATTTTATCAAATGTTGTGCCATATTGGTAAAAGAGCAAAACAAACTGGCATGCGCACTAAAATGAAATCAAAAGACATATGAAAAAAAATGAAAGAGAGAGAGATTTGGAGTCATTCCTGATAGCATTCCAGTTCCATAGTCCAGGCTTTTCTTTGAGACCTGAGGCATTCCTATTACTGGATTTTATGGGCCGATATTCATATACACCCCAGGTCTGCTTACACATTATAAAAGAGATTAAATTGTCTTTGTTATTTATAGTCAAAAGTGTCTAATTCGATTACAAAATGTAGGAGAAAGTTCCTTTCTGTTATGGACTGACAGTTTTCCTATTCTGGGAAGAAATAAAAGACTACTATATATGATAAAATTTGATGTCATATTTACTTTTCATTTGAATGTCTACAATGTTTTATATGCTTTTAAGACCTTTTTTTCTCTAAGCACTTATGAATATTTATTCCTAATCTCCAGTGCAGCTCGAGAAGGTATAATGACTAGCCACATTACATATAGCAGAGAAATCTGAGTCTCAAAGTATTTCTAAAGTGACAAAGATGAAATTTAAACCTCAGAATGTTACTTTCAAGAATGTAATGTCTATGAACCCAGAAAGGCAACCCTATTCTGAAGGACAAACATCTTCAATAGGATTTCAAGCTACATTTCCAGCGATAACACTCTTATTTTAATAAATGATATTTCCTCTTAACAAAGCTATCTAGCCCATGATTTAGTCTTTCATTTCACAATAGCACTGTAGCACTGTCCTCCCATTGTTCATCAATTTGCTCGAGCGGGCACCAGTAATGTCTCCATGTGAGACGTGTTACTGTTTTTGGCATATCGAATACACCATGGGGAGCTTGCCAGGCTATGTAAAAATGATCCTCTTCTTCCTTCTATCCTTATACTTTCCATCTCTGTTCCACCACTGCATTCTACATCCCAATGTCTTGTCCACAGTGCACTCAGCCGCTCACCAACTCTCAGCCCTTCCGAGTCATCATTCTGATAGTGGGGGAGATCACTGTGAGTTTCTCACCAGTGTTCCTCTTTCCAATCTTGTGCCCACCATCAACTAAATACTTTGTGATGTGAACTCAGTAAAACTTTTAAAATATAAATTTGAGCACATCACTTTCCTACTCAAAACTTTCTAGAAATAGGATAGAGTGAGTTGGTCTTCCCATTCCTTGACATGTCTACTACCTTCCTCATCCACTCTTTTTCCAGCTTTAATTTTCTCCTCCGAATCTCCAAGTGTTTCTAGAGGATTCTTTTGCAAAGCATTTACACTTGATGTTTCCTCTACCAGGGATACTTTGGGAAAGACAGTCCTTGCCTAGTTGCCCACTTCATTTAGGAATGTGCTTGAGTAAATGCTTCAGAGACCTTCCTTAACTGTCCACGATGAAGGCATGCTCTTCCTCCCCCACTCCAGAGTACTTATCCCTTCCATTATTTAATTTTACATGCACAGGATCATGTCTCTTGCAGAAAACATAGGTTTGATGAAAGCAAGTTATTTATTGTGCTTTATTCAAAAACATCTCCAGGGTTTTCAGAATAGCACATGAAATAAGGAGCCCATTAGTAAACTGAACCAGAGTTAAAAGAAATTAGATAGTTCAGATCCAAATAAAATACACAGGTTAGGGGACTGGAGCGATAGCACAGGTGGTAGGGCATTTGCCTTGCACACGGCTGACCCGGGCTCGATTCCCAGCATCCCATATGGTCCTTCGAGCACTGCCAGGAGTAATTCTTTAGTGCATGAGCCAGGAGTAACCTTTGCGCATTGCCAGGTGTGACTCAAAAAGCCAAAAAAAAAGAAAAGGTTACCTAGTTTTAAAAACTTTTTTTTTTTACTTATTCAAAGGCTCAATTCTACCTCAGATTTCTCTATTCAGAATATACTTCATGGTACACTGGTACTAGTATCACAAGTGATAGACCACTTGCCTTGCATGGCGAGGGTCTGGACTCAAACCCAGCACCAAATTCTAGCCCTCACCCTTGGCCATCATGTAACCCTGAGAGGAGGAGAATGTAGCCCCCACAACAATGGGAAAAAGCAACAAATAAACAGAATATAATCTTTCACCCATGTTCCTATAAACTCCATACTGCTTGAGGTGTGTCCTTACTTGCTGTGTATTTCAGTGATTTTCTCACTATAATTGGAATAGAAGTCAAAGGCTTCTGTTGTGCCAATCTTGTTCTCTTTCACATCACCTTTCCACATTGCAGAAAAAAATCCTCTGATTGATAAGAGAGTGGATCACTCTTACCTGGAAAGCTTTGCTTCCAAGTTTTGGTAAAGATTGGTTTAAGCCACTAGTAGGAAGATGAAACCACCGAGGTGGTGATGGGCATTAGAAAGATTGTACAATAAGAAGTTTCCCCAGGCAAATAAATGGTTCCATCATCTGTCTAGTAAATGTTTTAAGAAGTTTCTCCTAGTGTTACGTTAGGGACGAGAGATGCTTCAGTGACATGTGACTCTGTAGTGAAAGGCATAAGTTCCAGTCCTTTCATCTCTCTGACTTTGTGTGGAGGTTTGTAATTCATTGATTTCATATTTATTTTTATTATCTACAAAGAGAATAATCAAACTACCCTCTCTATATCCTGATCCGTGAGCTAAATTAAAAGTGGGCTATTTGCTACGTCTTTTTTTAAATTCTGTAACTTATATTTTAAATATTAACCCGTGTTTTAAAACATGTCAGATTTTCCAACAAAAAGGAATTTATGGACATTATTTCTATTGTGTCAGTATTTTATCAGGGGCAACAACATTTTAAGAAATAACATACTCTTAACTCAAACATATTTTCCACCTTTGTTTTGGTTTTTGGCATACCCAGAGTGCTCAAGGTTTACTTCTGGCCCGGTGCAGAAAGATCACATCTGGTGAACTTGGGGAGATCATTTGCGCTGCCAGGGATTGAACCTGGGTTAGCTGTGTCAAAGACTAGCATCCAATCCACTATACTATCTCTCCAGCTCCTCAATATATTCTTAGGGATTCTACCAACACTCTTCACATTACTTTGGGATTAAGTTTTACTTGGTTACTAAACAAAAAACTAAAAGTGTTTTGTGGCCATAATGAGATATGAAGTGTCATTGGAAAACTTGTATTTAATGCATGATAGGGCACAGATGCTATTTAAGATGAAGGCAGTCTGTGAACGGTTGAATAAAAGAAAAACCGAACTCAAAGGATGAACACAGTAATGAGGGTAAAGATAAACTGAGAATGTTTCATGGGACAATGACCTGATTTAAATAAATTTAACATGTATAATGGACTTGTTACAGTTACACAAGTGAATGAAAAAACAATATTATTTTAATTTTCCATGCTTAAATAAGAAACAGACACAGGAACGAGTGTACAATATGACCAGAGTTGGAAGAGTGTGAAAAGAAGACTTCAGCTTGGACAAAATCAAAGTGTGTATAAAGGCATATAGAGTATGAGGGGCTGGAGAAACAGTAGGGTGGACAGGGCACTTATAAAGCACAAAGCCAAGTGGGTTCAATTCCCAGTTTACCTGGAAGTATGGGCCCCCAAGTACTCCCCGATACTGGTCCCTGAGCACACAGTTTGGAGTAAGCTCTGAGCACTGCTGGGTGTGACCCCAAAACTGAAAACAAAAGACATACAGTAGATGGAAAGATAGAGATGCTTCGATCCAAAGCATTTCATGTACATTCTATATTTTTTCAACCTTTCATATTTACCAACCCAATATGAGAGGTGAATTAAAGAGAAATTAAAGATATCTTAATGGAGTAACAGACAATCTTAAATTAAAATTAAAGATCAAACTATTTGTTAAATATTTTAAGTTGAGTTTTATGCCAGTATTTGTTTTCTGGAGATACAGGAAAATCTTTTAGGGAGATGAACATTTACAGTGTGTTCATAACTATTCCCTCATGAAATTGATCAAGAGTCAGGATAGTTTGATTCTTGAAAGACAAAAGAATTAGCTGATGCTTACAATAATGTGGGCGCCAGTAGGATGGAAGCCATGCCCAAAATGCTCTCCCTTAAAACGTGCTTCTTAAATTATGTTTCAAATGTTTGTTTTCCATAAACACGTTGTAGCCTTATTCAAAATCCTACAATGCATTTGAGGCATAGCTTGTAGTTCAATCCATTTATTTTTCCTAACAATTGATTTTTTTTTTTAGGGTACTTACATATTCTTCATATGCTTCATGGGCTGGAGGGGGTGGAGCCCTGTATCCTGGCACTGTTGGTGCTCCTCGGGACCGTGGAGTAGGGACACCTCTTGCTACCGGGGGCACAGGAAGAGCTCCGCGGGTCACAGTGGTCCCTCGGGGAGTGAGGACACCTCGTCCAGGAGGTGGGGGAGGAGGAATGGCACCCCCACGACCCCTAGGAAAGGCATAATGTACAGATGAAAACCACGTTAAGAGGAAGAGACTGAAACCAAGTCCTCATCTCACAACCTTCATGATGCATAAAAACAAAAATTATATCTGCATAAATTTTCATGTCTAAGTATCTGTCTTCTGTTTAGATTTTATTTAAGATGTGAAATATTTCCAGCTCCATTTTAGAACAAAACATTCAATACTGGTCATTACTTGTAAAAACTATTAAATAACAGATGTTTTGGGGCTGGAGTGATAGTACAGTGGTTAGGGAATCTTCCATGCATATAGCAGACCTATGTTGGATCCTCGATATTCCATGTGGTCCTCTGAGCACTGTCAGGAGTAATTCCTCAGTGCAGAGCCAGGAGTAACCCCTGAGCATCACTAGATGTGACCCAAAAAGCAAAAAACAAAAACAAAGCAAAAAGGCCACATATATTTCATTTATAAACAAATAAAAACAAAGAAAACCATACAGAATACAAAAGACAAAGTCCCTGAATTTATTAAAAATTTGCTAAAAAGACCCAAATTAGGGTATTTCCAATATATCACACCCTGGCTCATCTGTTACACAGTAATGGAAGTCAATGTCTCTTCCATGCTGGAGTTCACTGATAGTGATGTGCAATGCTATCGTTCATAAATGAATAAATAATAAATAAATAAATAAATAAATAACCCATCTTCACTTCTGGAGAATGTGAAACTCTAACCATGCTGATACAATCTCATTTATTATAGCTATTTAATTGTGAAGTCAAGTGAAATTACAACTCATTGTCACTGATTTCTCATCGTAAATACAGCCGCTGAATTTGTATAGCTGCTGTTATAACTTTTCTTCTGATTCTATGGTGCTAGGGGAAACCATTTATATTCTGCAATAAACAGAATACACTGAATAGTCCATACTGCAATGCTTGACACAAAAGTAACTTGTACTAAAAGCCTGAGATCAAATGCTTGCTGCCAACTTTTATGGCATTCAGAGGTCTTTAGAAGGTTGAGTGTTTGTCTGAAGTTGCTGGGCAAAAGCATAGTTATTTCACTTTTTTTTTTATTATGTCTGAAAGGTTGGTCTCCAGAAAGCACTGCTTTCAGCAGGAACACTAAAGCTTTGGGGAAAATGATGATCATTGGGACATCAACAATCAAATCGCACTGTTTGGCGGTACCCACATATGGCAGTCCCCACATATGGGGATGTAGGTGATGCTTTCTGCTATGAATAGCAGTCAGCTGCCTCGTACTTGCTTGCAGAAAATGAGCTTTTATGAGTGAACAGTACGGATGCTGGTAAAGCTTTTTAAAGTTTTAAATAGATGACAGAGTTGATGGAAAGAGAAATTATCAAAGAATGTATCAGATGTCTAGTGTATACTGGACACTCTCCTAGATTAGAGGAAGGAAAAAATACTTTGAGTAGTCACTGAGTAACCGAGATTACAATATTGATCTCATCATGATATGAAAACAAATCTATAAGAATATTGATGAAGAGTTCTGATTTATTATTTTGACACACAAAAATATCTGCTTATGAGTAGCAAATTACATGGTCACCCTACTTTAAACTATAGTTTTTAGTCATGGCTATACTAGTAAATAATTGTAGGCCAGTACTGTCACTCTAAGAGCTCAAGGTGGATAATCTTTTTTCCTAATGGTTAAAATCCAAATTCAGAATATTTAACATTTCTTCACTGCATCACTGTATCACTGTCATCCCCTTGGTCGTCGATTTACTCGAGCGGGTGCCAGTAATGTCTCTATTCATCCCAGCCCTGAGATTTTAGGAGCTTCTCCTTACTTGTCTTTCCCAATGATTAGAGGCTCTTTCAGGGTCAGGGGAATGAGACCTGTTACAGGTACTGGTTTTGGCATATTAAATGTGGCACGGGTAGCTTGCCAGGCTCTGCCTTTGCGGGCGGGATACTCTCGGTAGCTTGCCGGGCTCTGAGAGGCATATATGCTCAGCGGGTGGGGCATTTGCATAGGCAGCCGACACAGCCTACCCGAGTTTGATTCCTCTGGCCCTCTCAGAGAGCCCGGCAAGCTACCGAGAGTATCTCACCCACACGTCAAAGCCTGGCAAGCTACCTGTGACATATTCTATAGGCCAAACACAGTAACAACAAGTCTCACAATGTTACTGGGCCCACTCGAGCAAATAGATGAACAACGGGAGGACAGTGACTGTGAGATATATACATGACTCCAGAAAGCAGCCTGGAATGTGGTGGTCATTGGGGAGTGGAGGTCGGCTGCCAGGGCTGGGTTCCTTGGGGTGGGGAAAACTCTCACGGTCCCCTCTGGGGTGCTCTGAGTGAAAAGAGCCTGGCACAGAGTTTCTTAAATGCTTAAAATTATAGGATTCTTGCATCCACTCTAATTTTTCATTTCATCCTTCATCAGCTGACTCAGAGAGAGGCCAGAAAATCTATCTCCTCCATTGGACATATTATTTCCTTTGCACTATTTACAATAAATTTTTAATAAATACTGGGACTTTGTCTTTTATATTATGCTTGTTTCACTTTGTTTTTATTTGTTTGTAAATGTAATATCTGTGGGTTTTTTCCTTTAACAATATTAAGCTAGTTTCTCAGTCCTTCAACATCAAATCTTAGCTATTTTAGGATATTGCCAATAGCTAAACACATACTTCCATATCCTTTACTTAGTTTTTTTTTTTACTTCTAAAATTTTTTTATTACCAAGATTTTCATTTTCTGTTCATCCACAAACTAAATGCAATCTAGTTGTTGCTATTCCCACTTAATTAAAAATTACCTTAAAATACAAGGGCTGGAGCGATAGCACAACGGGTAGGGCGTTTGCCCTGCCCATGGCCAACATGGCCAAACCGAGTTTGATTCCTCCACCCTCTTGGAGAGCCCAGCAAGCTACCAAGAGTATCTCGCTACCCGGCAAAGCCTGGTAAGCTACCCATGACATTTTTGATATGCTAAATACAGTAACAAGTCTCACAATGTAACTGGGCCCACTCGAGCAAATCAATGAACAACAGGCCAGTGACAGTTATACAAAGCTGTACATGTACAGTGGATTCACTTCAGTCATCATTCTATCATACTCCATTCTTTTCTACTGATCATCTCAATTACTCTCTATAACATGCACTCTTTAGACTTTCGTGTTTGTTTTTCTCCACATTTCCTCCTTCATCAGTTTTAATTCTCAAATTTATTTCACTGACTTCTCTATTCCTCTGGAATAAGACCTCTTTTACTCTAGGCCCTTAACTCTACTTTTCTTTCTCAAAGTGCACTCAGCAGTCTTTCACGATGGTTATCATACATTTGCTTCGGAACACCTGCCATATCCTTAAGTGTCTTATATCATGTTTTTAAAATTAATTAAAATTACTGAAAAAAATTTTTTTTTAAATTTTCTATGCCATACACTAGAGCCATAAGTCACAATTTCTAAGGTAAGTTACTCTCAATGACAACAATGTACATAACCAGTTTGGAAATCACTACTTTGTATGCATACCCTAATTTAAAAATCTTGGCAAGCTTGTCACAGAGAAATTTCTAAGCTATTTTCAAAGCACAGAAAATTCCAGTCCCCTGTCAAAGGTTATGCTAGCAATCTATAAAGCTAAGACTAATTATAAATATAATTATGTATTTCATTTAGCTTGGCCTTTCCCTTAATTTTAGTTGATGATACCATTAATCTCTAACTAGGATAGACACCAGAAAGTTACCCTAATATCAAATTAGATGTAATTCTCACAAACTCTAATCCATAATCTAGTCACATATCTCTGTACTCCAAGTGGTAATCATTTCTATTTTGGAAAATGCACATTGACTGCCCTGCCTTGACCCATCAGTTTTCTCTGTATCTATTTTTTCTATCTCTAGTTCCCTCTCATTTACTCTAATTCCTAATTACCTATAAAAATAACTTAATAAGCATTCTTATTTACATAAAATATACCACTTAGTTCTATGCATAGTTCTCTTGTAGTAGCAAAGTCACATATGTATACTTACGTACTTTATGAAATCAGCATTTTTTAAAGTACAAAAGTAAAATTTTATGACTTAAGTCATATGATTTAATCAATTTAAAATTGCTTTCAATCTTGCATTTCTTATCATGATGAGGTTATATACAAGTTTTATGAAACGCTGATTTCATATAAACGGATGTCTATAAAATGTTGTGTCATTAATTTTTAGCAATAAACATGGTCTTAAATAGCATTAGAAAGAACTCTACCTTTTCATGATAGAATATCAAAATAAGCTTGTAAACATATTTAGGAGTTCTTTACTCAAATCTAATTTGCCAGAATTGTCACAATTTATCTTTAATACCATGTTTTTTCCTTGATATTTTATTTAAAAAAAACATAGTACGTTTCTTTTTTTCTGATAAGTGCAAAACTTTTTAGATGGTTACTTAAATGTTAATAACACGTGTTTGACAGCAGTGCTTTAAAGTATTTGGAAAATAATCTAGGAAATAAATTGAGTCAGCAAACCTTCTTACAATCTCTTTAAATGATTTATATATTATACAAAATTATATTCTGATCTGTGTCCTTTAGAGATTTGAAGGGAATCTATAACAGGGTGAAGAGGATGAATGGCACAGTCTGGTTGTGAAGGCGATGAGTAGTTTTTACTTTACCTCTTAGCCAACCAATTCTTTCGTTGAAAACTTGGGAAATTCAGACAGATTATGATGCAGAGAGATCCGAATTCCTTTTCAAAGTAAACAATATCAAATTAAATCCTCTCTGATGACCAAGGGCACTGCAAACTCAAAATCTAACTTAGTTCTAAATGCCATTAGCATCAGTCATGCAAGAAATCTGCTGATGGATTTCTGGACTAGCATTTAGTATATTTTTTGTGCTGTCTTACTGTCTATGTATCTATGTCTCTATCTGCTTTCTAGCTATCTTGGTAGACTACCTCCAAGATCATTTTAGCTTAGCACTGCACTGTATCACTGTCCTCCCATTGTTCATCCATTTGAAGAGTGGGAACCAGTAACGTCTCCATTGTGAGACTTGTTGTTACTGTTTTTGGCATATCTAATAAACCACCTGGAGTTTGCCAGGCTCTGCCGTGTGGGCGGGATACTCTGGGTAGCTTGCTGGGCTCTCCAAGAGGAATGGAGGAATCAAACCTGGGTCGGCTGCGTGCAAGGCAAACCTCCAACCGTTGTGTTATGGCTCTAGGCCATCACCTTAGCTTAGACAGGAAAATGACTACAATACCTGTGTAACCTCAGCCCAGGATAGAATCAAATGAGTGAAACTCAGTTGCTCAATTCGTGAATCCTGGAGTCAGTCTCCTGTATGACTTTGGATAAAGTCCTTTCATCTTTCTGTTTAAACTAGAAAATTCTACCTACTCTTGACATGGAGGATTTGCTGAGTTAATTTTTGAAGGTATTATGTGCAATGTAAGCAGTCATTGTTATGGTAGCTAATGTTTATTCTTTATTAAATTGAATTTTTTCTATCGAATCACCCTGCTATCAATATGACATGGGGGAGGAGAGAAAAGCATGCCATCATCTTTGCTGTTAATTTAAAGTAAGAACAGATGTACCTTGAAGGAGTTGTGGGTGCTACTCTCATCCCTCTGCCTCTAATACCTCTGCCACGACCAGAATCTTCTGAGCCATTTAAATACGATAATTCACGTAGTTGTTCCTGGCGGATTTCATCATTGTAGTCCTAAAACAAAATAATGATGACCCAATGAATTCAAAGAGGACATGAGGTACTTAAAGAAGAGGAAACAGTAAGAGAGTTAAATATGCCATTCATTTTCTGGAGTTTTATGTAGAAAAATACAAAATGATGTAAAAATGTATATATTTTCAATTCCATTTTTTTAATATAGGAAAACTGAAGTTGCTTCTTCTAATAAGGAAGGTCTAAGCAGGAACACACAGATTAATCAGAAAAAGAAGAAAGTGATACATTCTGTGGAATGGTCTAGAAATTTTAAACTGAAAAATATTACTCTTACTGAAAAATCAACTTTTTACTGGCTACAAATTTGTAAATTATGAATATCTATGATGTTCAAATATATTTTATTATAAACAAAAAGGACACTATCTAAAGTACATTACTAAAATGCTCAAAAATAAAGTGATAATTTATTATTATTGCAGTTTATTGTTATTATTGTTACAGTTTATTATTCAGGAAATATTGCAGTTTCAGACAAATGGGAAAGTATGCATACAATCAACCAATCTGATAGACAATGTTTATAAATAAGGGCATTTCTAATGTGTTCAAGCACCGAATTGCCAGAAAGAGACAGTCATAGTAGAAGGGGATTTCACAGCAATAATAAAATCAAAGGGACTTTGTCTATCCTTTATTGGTATGCAAATGTATCATTGATTTACATAGGACCAGATAACAATTTGAGTCACAAGAGAAGAAAGCTACCCTCAAAAAACATGTCAGTTTTTCCTTTTTATCCCCTTTTATCAAAATACACGATCTCACCCAACTATGCCAGCTTAGCTCTGTATATACCTATGGCAGTAATATTAAACAAAGACTGTGGAAACTCACCCATCCAGCTCGTCAATAAGACTCAGACCTGTATTCAACCTTTACCACTTCAAATGCAGTTTCCTACACTGCTTTGATTACCAGCAAAAGTACTAATCGCTTCAAAGCACCATTTTCTTTTTATAACGTGTCACTTTTATAGTTATCCTATTCAGCACCTGATTATAATGATATTGGGTACAAAATGCTGGCTGACAAAACTACAAAACTGAAATTGTTGTTTTGTACTAATGATATATTATTCAAATTTTACCATTATTTTTTGGGGGGTGTGGTTGTGGTGCTTTGGGCCATACCCAGCTATCCTGAGGACTTACCTGGCTCTGAGCTCAAGATTCTTTCCTGGAGAGTTTAGGGACAGTATCAGATGTTGGGATCAAACCCTTGTCTGCTATATACAAGACAAGTGCCCTCAGTATTATACTATCACTCTGGCCCTAAAGTTCTGCCTCTTAATTTGGCAATTCAACCAACAACTAAATGGAACATAAAATATATTTTATTTATTAGTATTAGTGAAAGTAAGGAATCATTGATATTGAGCGAACTAATTAGCCAACATCAAAACAAAATTTTAATTTTATAATTTCCCCAAATATAAAGGGAATACTTAGATATGCTACCTTTTGATATATTTTATTTTGGATGGCCACACCCAGCTCTGCTCAGGACTTATTCGTGGTCATTCCAGAAGACCATAATTGCTGAGGATCAAACCCAGGTTGGCTTCACAACAAGCAAGTGTCTTATCTGTAGTACTATCTCTCCAGCTCACTCCAGATGCTTTCTCATCTGAGTAGACCCCACAGAATTGGGGTATATAGACGAGATATTAACAGAAATGGATTATTACTGGGAAACACTGAGGGCTGACAAACAAACTGCAGACATAGGCAACCTTTGCAAAGTTTTACTTTGCACTATAAATATTTTATGCAAGATGATCAAAGTGTGTTCTTAAAATGTAGTCTTATCTATGATCTCTTCAAAATAACGAGAAAAAAACAGAGACAAGAAGGTTGGATGAAATAAGAAGATAAGTATAAAGAAATCAGATGGTTAAAATCATTCCCATTATGTTTAGGTCTCCCTGCATCCATACCATTGAATAGGTCCCAGCAATATGACTCTGCAAATGGAATTATGAATTTTCTTAGTCAAGAAAGAAATAGAAACACGTTTCAAATATAGGAACTTGAAAGTGCATTCCCATCAGAAGAAAATCTTATCACTGGGAATCCTTTGGACACCTGGGGAAGAATCTCCAACTAATTGTGTAGTGTATCAGAGGTCAAGTGAGACTTCAGGCATTCCTGTGGGGTATGACAGAATATCATATTGGGACATTATGGAAGTGAGTTGTCCATTTTAAGTTAATCTTTCTGTAGTCATAGAGATATTATAGCAAGTAAGGGACATGCCTTGCAAACAGTCAACTAGTTGGGACACCACTTATAGAATCCAGGCACTGCCAAGAGTGGTCCCAGAGATGAAAACCAGGAGTAAGCACATACAGATGTAACCCCCAAACAAAAAAGTAAACAAGTTCTTTCTTCTGAGTCAATTCTCACCAATTCAATTGCAGATTGTAATACAACTTTTATAGAGAAATCTGCTAGCATAAATAATTCTATTCATTTTTATCCATATAAAGTTGTATCTATATCTAAGAAGATATGATGATATAATGAAGAATTACAGATTAATTTCAAGTGACACTGTAGCACTGTCCTCCCGTTGTTCATCGATTTGCTCGAGTGGGCCCAGTGACGTCTCCATTGTGAGACTTGTTGTTACTGTGTTTGGCATATCAAATATGTTATGGGTAGCTTGCCAGGCTTTGCTGTGCAGGTGAGATACTCTCTGTAGCTTGCCAGGCTCTCGGAAAGGGGCGGAGGAATCCAACCTGGCTCGCCCGGACCAGCTGCATGCAAGGCAAATGCCCTACCACTGTGCTATTATAAATCTTGTTGCTTTATAAAGGTAAAGGTAAAGGCCCTCCCGTTGATCGTCGATTTGCTCGAGCGGGCCCAGTAACGTCTCCATTGGAGACTTTGTTGTTACTGTGTCTGGCATATCGAATACTCTCGGTAGCTTGCAGGGCTCTCCGAGAGGGGCGGAGGAATCGAACTCGGGTCGGCCATGGTGGCCGCGTGTAAGGCGAACGCCCTACCCGCTGTGCTATCGCTCCAGCCCTTTATAATCAGGTTTTAATAGAAGCTTAGCTTTGTTTTATGAAATGAACTGTAAACCAGGGTTGTTTTGGCCACAAGAATGCAGACTTCAGAGAAGGAATACCAATTGCTCTTTTCTGGACTTGTTCTCAAGAAAATACAAAGAGCTCCTCCCAGAGTATAACCGGATGTGGTCAAGGTTCTAAATCAAGCACTTTCTGAAAACCTCAGAACTCCTCTAATTGTGCCTTAAGGATTACTTGTCAATGTTGCTAATTTTCCTTTAACTTTTATACTAGGACATTCTACATATAGTGTGAGGGTTCTCTAGTATTCCTTGGTTCCCTAACATACCTTAGGGAATATTAGGATTTTTGACAAATTTTACAGCACCTTCACCAGTAGTAAATTTTAGCTCACACAGCAAACCCCCCCCCCACACACACACACAAACTTTTCCTTTGTTCATGCAGAAGAAACAACTCCTCCTCCATTAAAGATTTAACCCATGAATTTTCAGAAATTCAAGCATATCTTCAGATTTTATTTCTAATACTAATTTGTTTTCTCTTTCTTTCACATTCACTTTTAACCTCCACTGAAGCTGAACCTTTTAAAGTCATCCAAGAGGGTGGTTATCAATTTCGCCAAACTCCTATTTGACATTTTATTTTATTATTCTTTTGGGGATGGGCAACACCCATAAATTCTCAAGGTCTAGGTGTGGTTTTATGCTCAGGGATCATTGCTACTATTGCTTGGAAGGAGCATATGCATTTCTGGGGACCAAAATAGGATTTGTCATATGCAGGACAAGTACCTTAATTAATGAACTATCTCTTCAGCACCGGATGTTGACACTTATTTATCTATAACTTTATATATAAATCCCTGACAGTGCCCAGGGATTTCTAAGTCTGCTCAGGAACGACTCCTGGAAGTGACAGGTGATACTATATGTGATGTGAGATATTACAACCACATGCAAGGCAAGTATTTTAACCCCTGTATTATATCTCTAACTCTAATGTTGATATATTAAGTTCCTCCAAGGAATGATCTTTGGGACATGTAGAATAGTGAAACTTTCCTTTTAAGATATTTTGGTAGAGGAGTTGGGACGCAACTGGCAGTACCCAGGACTTATTTGTGTCGCTGTGTTCAGGGATTACTCCTGGAAGATCTCAGGGGACCATATTGGTGTGGAGATTGAACCAGAATCATCATGCAATGCCAACTGCCCGCCCTACATACTCTACTATCTCTTTGCCCCTAGAATGATAAATCTTTTAAGACAATTTCCAATTTTTCAGATTCATCTAAGAAATCAATTTCATGCAAATTAACCAATTTCCAAAACATATTCCTTAAATAACAAAGGGCTGGAGTGATAGCACAGCAGGTAGGGCATTTGCCTTGCACACAGCCCATGCAGCTGACATGGCAGACCCAAGTTCGATTCCTCCGCCCCTCTCGGAGAGCCCGGCAAGCTACCGAGAGTATCTCATCCGCGCAGCAAAGCTTGGCAAGCTACCCGTTGTGTATTCAATATGCCAAACACAGTAACAAGTCTCACAATGTTACTGAGCCTACTCGAGCAAATTGATGAACAACAGGAGGACAGTGAAATAACAAAACTTAAAAGTAAAATCACTCCTTGATTCACTGGCTGCAAAGTTTATGTTATGTTAGCAGGCATAAAACCAAAACCGTTAGGGTTATCTAAGAATTTCAAGTATGTTTGGAGAGGGGATTCTTCTGTGATTTTTAGATATTTCTGATAACTAAAATATGGAGGCTGTGCAAAACCATGATATATTAATGTGTTGGCAGGGTATCAGTAATGATCCTTTTATTGCAAATGTATATCATAAAAATAATCATGACATCAATTGCAATATAAGATGATTAAATGTTAAATGATGAATCCTTTTAATAGAAATGAAACATTCCAATATAACAGAA